TTCGGATCTGTGTGATGTCTGAAGTGGACACGAAACTGCAGCTTTGGCTTTGGAGGACGTCCCCTTCCTGGAGGCTTCTGAACGGGCATCTCCCTGTGGTCAACGATATCATCGATGCCGACTTCTCCGTCCATGGTTGGGGGCAGCATTGATCGACGAGAGGGAAACTGATCAGTTTCCTTGGACGCAGCGAGCTTAGAGGCGTGAAAGACTGGGTAAGTTCTGAGATGACCAGGGATACGGATGACATATGATGGACCATCAGGGTCTGTCCCAACTACGTCTAAAACTTCCCAAGGTCCAAAGTACTGAGGCATCAGTTTGCGGGATATCTTGAACTCCTGTCCCAATTCTGAAGACTTGACCCAGACTCTGTCCCCAACCTGAAATGTAGAAGGGCGGCGGTGTTTATTCTCAGATTCTATCATTGCTGCCTGCGCCTTCTGCATGTGCTCTACAGCCTCCTGCATCTTCTGTTCATATCGGTAGGCAAACTCTAGAGTGCCTGGTGCAGCAGTTGGCTGGTTGTCAGAAAGTAGGAAGTCTAAGGGCAGTCTAGGCTTAAACGTTAGTTGTAGACTGTTAGGACTCACCCCTGTAGCGCTGTGTACAGCGTTATTGTACAGATTGGCGACAAGTGCGAGCTTTTCGTCCCAGTCCACCTGGTTGGGCTTGATATAATGCCTCAACAGGTGTTGCACAGCGCAGTTCATCTGTTCGGCCTGGCCGTTGGCTTCGGGATGATTCTCAGAAGTCATCTGCAGTTGAGTTCCCTGTTCGGCTGCAGCGGCCTTCCATAACTCGCTTGTAAACCTGACATCTCGATCGCTTACAATAGACTTGGGCAATCCGAAATCTCTCACCCAATTTTCTTTGAACATCTTAATCACGTACTCAGTCTTTGCTGTCTCAGGCATTGCTACTAGCCTAGCAAACTTACTAAACCTATCCACGATGACAAAGATCTGCCTCATCCCACTCTTGCTGGTGACTAGCGTATCCATGAAGTCCATGGACAGGCTCTCACCCGGCCTCTCCGGAATCGGAAGGGGCTTGATCAGCCCCAGAGGAGCCTGAGTACGAGGCTTGTCTCGTTGGCAAACTTGACAAGTCTCCACATACAACTTGGCATCTTTCATCATCGTGGGCCACCAAAACCTCTGCAGCAAATTGGCTGCGGTCTTTTTGAACCCAAAATGGCCGGTGGCATCATGACACTCTCCTAAAAATAAACTATGCAAAGACTCGCTACTAGGGACACACAATCGTTTATTCCCCTCCTTCTCGAGAAACAGCATGCCATTGACCATCTCAAACTCAGCTGAAGTCTGTTTGTCCTTCGCCTCGAGTCTGCGGATGATCTCTGTCATAAACTGATCTTCTCGATAGGCCTCGACCAATGATCGAGACACGTCGTCGTTTAACTCGAACTTAGTAATCAGCGCACCTGAGAAATCAGGTCTACGCGACAAGGCATTAGCCACCTTGTTGTACTCCCCTTTTAAATACTGGGGGTCGAAGTCATACTGCTCAATGACCTCGATCCAATGCTTCAGGGCGTCGGAAAGTACTGGCTGCGTTCTCATCCATCTCAAGGTCTGATGATCAGTCCTAAGGATGAAGAACCTCCCAAGGAGATAGTGCCTCCAATGGGTTAGAGCCTTGTACATGGCGTAGAGTTCCTTCTCATAGGTGGACTTTGCCAACTTCTGAGACGGCATCTTCTTTGACATGTACTCGACTGGCCTCAACTTTGGCCCATCCTGCTGCGCAAGCACGGCGCCAATGCCATATTGGTTAGCATCCGTGGTTACTATAAATGGCTTATCAGGATCGGGTAGCTTCAAGACTTCATAGTGCGTCAATGCATGCTTTAGATATCTGAAAGCAGCCTCGCACTCATCTGTCCACTCCCAAGGGGTGTCAAGGCGGGTCAGATCAGTCAAAGGAGCGGCCACTATGCTATACTTCTTTACAAAAGTCCGGTAGTAGCCTGTCATTCCTAAGAAAGATCTCATCTCAGTCACGGACTGAGGTCGTGGCCAATCACGAATGCTGGCCACCTTCGCGTCATCGGGCTTCAACCCTTCNGTCATTCCTAAGAAAGATCTCATCTCAGTCACGGACTGAGGTCGTGGCCAATCACGAATGCTGGCCACCTTCGCGTCATCGGGCTTCAACCCTTCCGCGGAGATCTCATGACCCAAGTACAGACACGGGTGCGGCCAAATTCGCACTTTTCACCGTTGATCTTGAACTTGTGTTGTCGCAAGAGACTGAGGACTTTGTCTAAATGTGCTGCATGCTCCTCGACAGTCTTACTAAAGATAAGTATATCATCAAAGTACACAATGACAAACTTATCCAAGTAGTCATGGAATATCCGATTCATAGCGTGCTGAAAGGTGCCAGGAGCATTGCACAAGCCAAAAGGCATCACCACAAACTCGTACAGACCGAACCTGGTCTGAAATGCGGTTTTGTGTTGATCCTCGGGCCGGATTGCAATCTGATGGTACCCAGACTTCAGATCTATCTTACTGAAGTACCGACACCCTTGCACTCTATCTAGCAGATCGTCGATGCGCGGTAGGGGCTCTCTGTTCTTTACAGTGATGGCATTGAGACCCCTATAACCAATGCACATCCTGAGAGTACCCTCCTTCTTCTTAGGAACAAATAACACTGGAGACCCATAAGGAGAGACACTCGGACGGATCCAACCCTTCTCTACGAGTTCCTTGAGTTGGCGGTGAAGCTCATCAAGCTCGCCTGGAGACATCCGATAGATCCTACCCTTCGGAATACTATATCCTGGGATAATTTCTATCGCGTGGACAACCTCCCTCTCGACAACCCCTTTCGGCTCTTCAAATAGATCAGGGTACTTGGCAACTACTCCCTCTATCTCCGGCGGTATTTTCACCGGCTCGCCTGCAGCAGAGACATAAACTAAGTACATACCCTCCTCCTGATTTTGCTTATAATAATTATAGAATGCGGTCGCACACAAGCACCCGTAGGACTTAATCAGACTACTAGCTTTGAACTTGTGTAATCTGGCGGTCCCTCCACCTGGCAAAGTGTGCTTGACCACTTTTCGGTCCCAGTCAAACTGGGGCTGTGCAACCAAGAGGTAGTACATACCAAACAAGATATCCATGGGGAGATCGTCGCTCACTAGGAATGAGACACGATACCTCAATTCCCCTCCCGCGTACGGGAACAGGCACTCAACATCCTGAAGGTAGTCATTTACTACCATGCGATGTTTGTTGGCACAGGTCGACTCCACAGGTCGACTCAGGCGCTGCACTTGCCCCTGTAAACGCAATCTCTCAACGCACGCGCAACTAATGAAGTTTCGTGTCGAGCAAGTGTCATAATAGGCCCCAGCCTTGCGACCGCCTACGACTATCTCGCTGACGAACATCTCACCCTTCGGGGCTTTAGCTAGTGCCGTCCAAGAAGCTAGCGGGTCTAATCTAGACCACTCCTCCTCTAGCTCCTCTAAGGACTCAAACACATTCATCGAGCAAAGGGTCGATGGGTCTGAATGCGTTTGTGGGACGACAAGGGAATCAGTAGCTTGGGCCATGATGCGAGATGGCGAGGGTGTCTCCACCACCTCGTCCCTAGTAGGAACAACCACTATTCCTACGGGCCTGACGTGTTTCCCAGAGCAGTGCCTGACGAACTGACAACATTGCTACCTACGGGAGATGAGGATCCTACTGCCTGCCCCATAGTAGGCGGGATCTTATCGGTGACCTTTTTGTTCCTACATTTGAACTGGTTATGGGCGTATTGACCACAACGAATGCGGGCCTGTCGGTTCCACCGATCTCTCCACACGTCCTCCGAAAGACCCGCTTTCTCCCATGGAGGAACATTGGGGTCAACCTGATTCCTAGACCGGGAGCCTCCTCGGCGTCTACCGGTCCCCTTACCTTTTTGTTGGGTTACGGCGGCGACTACTCCACCCTCTGAAGTTTCGCCACCTGCCTCTGCACCTACTCCCTCCTAGAAGTTGCCGTCCAACTCGATGGTTGAACCATCGTTGTTGACAAACATTAAGCGACCCTTCGCCTTCCAGTTGGGAGGCAGTGTCTTCTTTCTCCCCTCCGTAGTGGGTGCCTGTCCATGCCCTATCTTTGCTTCCAGGTCTAGGGCCACCTTGCTAAACGAAGGAAAGTTGTGCATATTGATGTTGCCCTCTTTTGCCAACTGGTTCCTGAGAGGCTGTGAAAAACATCTCAGGTACGAAGTCAACAGGACCTGAGGATCATAGCGTACCCCAGGGACACAGATCAAATGCTCAACAGCGTCGGTGACTTCCCTTACTGACTTAAATTGCCGTGTGTGCAGTGTCAGGATCGCGTCAGTGGCCCTTTGAGCCTCCTGAGGATCATGCCATCTCTCTTCCACCATCTTCAGGAAGTCCTCCAATTTCTAGGAGGCCGCCCAAGCGCGGAAGTCATGTCCGTATCCCTGAAGTTGTACTAGACCACTCAACCATCTTGCTGCACTACCCTCGAGGTAGGAGGCAGCCACAAACACTTCTTCGTGCGGCAAGGTGAGTTTGCACCTGACGTAGACCGGTACTGCCCTCAACCATGTGTTGAGGTCCTCGCCTCTCTTGTCCCCTGTAAAAGGTTTGGGAGCGGCGATGGCCGTCTTTGGAACCCACTGTGTCTGTCCCGGTCCCTGCATCATTCCAGGCTGTGGACCCAGTGAAACAGGTTGCTGTGCTAGCTGCTGGGGCTGTGAGCCCTGAGACTGCACTGGCTGCGAGACAGCAGGCTGCGTGGTGACTGCAATCTGTGACGGACTTGGAGTAAACACTGTCTGTACAGGAACCTGTAAACTACTCCCTGTTGTTACCCCTCCTGACAGAGGCATGCCCAGGGAAACGGTAGCAACCGATTCCAAGGCTACATATGGGGATACCCCAGTCACCGGTGGGACAGAGAAAGGAGGATATGGCACAGGCCAGGCACCAGGCCCTGCCGGTGATGGTGCTCCCTGAGAACGCCCTACCAAAATGGCTAGGCTCTGCTGGATATCATGAAGGATGGTAGTTTGATGCTCCTGCATCTCTATTACTCCTAGCAGGGCCCTCCTAACTACCCTCACATCGTCATCCATGTTCTTCAGGTCCATCGACTCTAACTCCTCTATGTCTGCTCCTCTCCGTTGCATCCTGGTCCTTCTTCTAATCATCATCTCTTTCTCCTTTTTTATCTGTCCTAATGCCTGCTGTAGCTGTGTGCCTCTTGCAGGGATGCCTGCTGGATGGCGACATCTTCTGGGGTCAACACTGCGGGCTGGCTTGCCATTAAGCCAGTGGACTGACTCACGTTCTGCGCGACCGTGGACCTGGCGGTACCTGAACTACCGGCTTGGGAAGTCTGCTGCGCAGACGTGCTCATGGTTGTGGTAGCCATGGCTGCTGTAGCACCGGCCTCGCTAGCTAATGCCCTGCTGGCCTCGGCTTCTCTAGCTCTCCTCTGCTGCTGCCTCTCCCTCTGCCGGCGGAACAGTTCCCTATCACCCTCCGGTCCTAAAGACACGTGGGCTACCGGACCCCTAGCTGATCGCAAAGTCCTACGGTCGTCCTCTCCGGTGTTCTCCTCATCGCTCATAGGCTACGACACTGTGCACCGTCTACACTAGATCATTCAAGATGCCTACCGCAGCATAGTGCACAGACCAACTAATTGATGGTGGCTACTTTTGGAACAGATCTCACTTGGGGTCAACAGGTAAGTCAGATTCCTACAACTGAAACTATTTTTAGTATGACTAGTCCACGAACAGAAACATCAGGAACAATCAACAGTTCTAACTAATGCTGTCTGTCAGATGTCAATGGCAGTCCATCTAACTAATCAAAACATAAAAATAGAATCACTTGTGTGTATAGGACAACATGGAATTTTCTCGAACTTGTCACCTCGAATCGACCCCCCCCTCCAATTTACACTTGAGTATCTCTTGCCGTCAGCGTCCTGAGCAATCGGGTAGCATGCGTGACTGAAGGTGTGCAATCCAGTCCCACCCCTGTGCCCCAGGTTATCGTCGAGCAAGGCAGCCACAACACTCTTATTTATCCTCGTACGCCGACGAGCCTTCCACTCGGATGATCTGGCTGATCAAGAGGCAATTTAACGTCCGCCCCCAATTGACATCAGGAATTATTTTACGTCGCAACAGGACGACGATCACAGTCAGATCAGAGCCGAGTCCCCAGCCAGAAATGTTTATAGACGGTCTGGTAAGCGTCTGTAGAGGCTGCCACACTTGAGTTAGCCCCTACCATGCGCAAGCAGCAGAACCAACGACTTGCAGCGAAGCATGCGTATACTACACCCGGTGGGTTGGCATGGTGACCGTGACCCAGTGCTTCGTCCAGGGCCCTTCAGAAAGCAACGCCCTCTTCCCCCTGATGCTCCACAGGAAGTATGCCGACTCTCAAGGTTGAGCGGGCTCAACAACTCACAATGAGAGGACTCTCAAGTTGGATCACACAACCTCACGGTAAGAAGTGTTGGAGAGGGTAGATAAGGTTGGGAGTAACGTACCTCAATATTGCTGCCCCCAACCAAAGATATAATCTCACCAGATGACCAAATGGCGATTGCGATGACCAGTCACTGCATCGGCACAACCAGCATTATTCACCGTTCCACCTCAGCATCAATCGCACATTAGATAGTTCTCATCACACTGTCCAGACCACATTCACCTTACATAGCCTTCCTGGCGATTCCCCTCACCTCCTGGGTCGCCACACACTCGTCTCCACCCTCCTCACTACACACCACNCTGCATTGCAATATTGATTGTTCGGATCATTCGTATCTAAGTCTTCCGCTGTGTTATCTTGTACTTTGTATTGAGAGGTCGGTTCTTGTTCTGGTCTGCACATTACAGTATGCAACATTCGCTGTCATGGACGCTCAGATGCACCCGTTTGCCGGCCTGGATCCACTACTCAGCATATGCCCAAGAGACACAAAATATGGTGGTGTATCTTTTCATGTTCTAGCTGCAGTTTCATTCTCAATTTGCACATTTGGTGAGTAGTGGAGAGAGGCCCTGTTTCCTTTCTTCTGTTTGTTCTTTTTCTTTTTTCTTTTTCCCCTCTGATATGTTTCATCCAGAGAACCAGC